CGTGCCGGTGGGAGGCTGTGGAAGATCCCAGGCCATCTGGCTCCTGCTCCTGGTCCATGGTAACCAATTGTTGCAATCTGCAAGTTACTCCTCTGTTAGTTTTGTCAGTGAATCGAGACAGGGAAGCGGGAAGCTAGCCCCGAACTATTACTTCTGGAATCTACAGTCTTGAGAAATGTGTAATATTTGGTAAGAACCAGCACTATAAAACACTCTGCAGAATAGTCCACAGAAGAAACTTTAGAGTTGGGTCTCGTTATCCCCATTTTGCAGTGATGGAACCTGAGGCACACAGACATCGGAAAAGCTCATGGTTCTGTACTAATTGGAAGCTGATTTGGGATTCCTGCATTCTTTCTGCTTTGTGGTACTGCCTTTAGCATTTTCATCCTAACATTTTAATGCTGACAGTCACCTCAGGATGAAACGAAGTGACAGTGATCACACTCAGAGCATACTGAGGCTATTGATAACTGCTGACTAAGGGGAAAATGGCTTTTAAAAATCAATACAGTCTGTTTTCTGTATCAGTGAGTCTGTTTCTGTTTTGTTTGTTAGTTTATTTTGTGCATTAGATTCTACATATAAGGGAAATCACAAAGTATTTATCTTTCTCTGACTGGCTTATTTCACTTAGCACAGTACCCTCCAGGTCCATCCATGCTGGCTCCGAAGTAAGATTTCCTTCCTTTTTTATGGCTGAGTAATATTCCATTGTGTGAATCAGGGATGGGGAACATGCAATCCAAGGGCCATATAAGGCCCATGAAATAATTTGGTGTGGCCCTGCCAAGGCATTAGGGGTAAGTTAATTACATGTTTGACCAAATATAGCTGGCTAATTTTTAAGTTGATAATTTTGCATGGCCTGCGAATGATGTTATAAAAAGCCAAATGGCCCTTGTCAGAAAAAAGGTTCCCCACCCCTGGTAAATGTACCACAGCTTTTTTATCCACTCATCTACTGATGGGCACTTGGGCTACTTAAAAAACACACACAAAAAAAACAAAGAAAGAAACTCCTAGATAACAATGTGGTGATTGCAGGAGGGAAAGGGGTGGGGGAGGTGGCAGAGGGTGAAAGGGGATATGTGGGGCAGAAAGAGTTGATTTTGGGTGGTGAGCACGCGATGCAGGAGGCATGCAGATGATGTGTTACAGAGTGTACACTTGAA